TATATCCATTCTCTTCTAGGTCTCTGGGGAAGATCTTAGGAAGCTCAAGTGAAGAAATTACCCATTGGATTTGGGGCAGAGACTCAGAAATAGAGGTGAGTGCCGTGGTCAGGGGTATAACTAGCCAGGTCCCTCTTGGGGCCCCAACCAGCTGCCCTCACCCAATTCAGTCACTCAGCAGGTATTTACTGCCTGCCTGCTCTTCTGTTCTAGGCCCCAGGATTCAGCTGTGATTAAACAGACACAAGCCCCTGCCCTAGTGGGGCTGGCATTCTGGTAGGGGACAGAGACAATGAGCACACAGATTGAGTGTGATATGATGACTAGGGTGAAGGTGGTATTCAGAAACTGGTCTGGGCTGCTACTTGGGTTAGGGTAATCTAAGAGCTCTCTCAAAGCTTACCTGTCCCTTGTCCCTCACCTTTAGGTGACTATGTGTTCAGGTCTGATTCCAGTTCTCTTGCCAGGTGGTTGATGTGCTTTGGGTGTCAATGTCTTGGATCAAAAGCCTAAGGCTTTAACTGCAGAATTTAAGGCACCAAAGCTGGCAGTGGGCTCCCTTGAACCAAGTCAGCAGTTCCTAGCTGGCCTGCGGGCTTGACAGTCTGATTTTGGATGCCCCAGATGAATGGCAGAAATGCATTTTCTGGCCCATAAAGATAGCCCTTCCCCCGCCCCCCCCCCCAGAAAGGACAAGGGATGGGGTACAGACTCCAGACCCACCCGCAGGAAGCAGCCCCGCCTGGAGCAGAGTTTACTTAACTTTTTATTATGGAAATTTCCCAACATAAGCAGGAGAACAGTAGAAAGAATTCCCCTGTGCCCATTCCCAGCTCAAGAATCAAGTTATGGCCACTGCCATTTCCACTGTCCCTCCCTGGCCGCTGGCTGACTTCAGCATACTGGGACTGGTTTTATGAGGAAAAGGGGAGGAAATTATGGGTGGAGAGTTCACAGGGAGGGGGCTTGGGCACGAAGTTCACTGGAACCCTGAGAGCTGAGTGGCCCCCAAGAGGTAGCTGCACCAAGTGGGGCAGGAAGAGGGGCTGGTTGTGGATGGAGGAGAAGCCTGCTCAGGGGCCAGCCCCACTTCCTTCCCGACCCTGCCTCTCTTTGTTTCCTTTCTCCCATCTTCCCCCCCCCACTTGCAATAAAAACATAATTATGGGGCTTTATAAAAAAAAAAAAGAAAAAAGGCAAATTATGGTGACATGCTTTAATTATCTGCCGAGCGAGGCGGGTGAGTTACCCGGGCAGGGCCTTGGAGGCTACCTAAAAATAAAGCAAGAAGCCTCATTAGATGCTAATTGCTGCTTTTGCCAACTGAAGTGAGATTTTGGTGCTGAGTGTCATTCAGTGCTGGGTTGTCTGGGGGGGTGACCCAAGCCCCAGGAGGCTCCGAGTGTCAGGGCCAAGCCCTGGGGGTGGCCAAGGCGTACAGGACAGAAAGGCAGGAGGAGCTCTCCGTTTCATCGGGGGTGCCTCAGTTTCCCCTCAGTGGGAGATGGAAGCTGGGGGCTGGAGGGGGTGGGGCCAAAGGGAGCACAGGCTGAGCTTCTGCCTGGGGCTTCTGAGATGCCCTTGGTGGGGTACAAGCTGGGCATGGTGCGGATATGCAGAGGGAGGCTGGCTCCAGGTCTCCGTCCCATGTTGCCTCTACCTCTAGGGCTTGAGAAGGCAGAATAGGAGGGACAGACCACAGGACATTAGAACCCAGAACCAGCCCATGTGCGCTGGAAGGGACCTGGGTGCCAGCAGTCTGGCAGCTCCTGGGCTTCTGCTTGGGCTGGTGGCAATTCAGTCTTGGGGGTGAGTCCCAGGAGAGCTGGTGTGGGGACATTGCTGTTCCTTCCTTGGCTTCACAAACCCAAGGTTTGGCCCACACCCAGGCCACTTGGCCGCACAGCCTGTTCTCTAGGGAGCTTCCAGAGCATTCTCAGCTTTACCCACAGGGGTCCAGATATTGTCCTGGGGAGGCCCCTGCGTTCATGTTGCCTAAGTGTTCCCCAGGTGGTCAGCAAGTGCACGTGAAGGCCGGGCACGGTGGCGCATGCCTGGAATCCCAGCCACTCAGGAGGCGGAGGCAGGAGGAAGGCCAGCCTCAGCAACTTAGCAAGGCCCTGTCTCAAAAAAATATATAAAGGACCAGGAATATAGCTCAGTGGTAGAGCACCCTTGGGTTCAATCCCCAGTACCCACTACCAAAAAAATTAAAGAAGTAGAATTCCCACTGGCCCGATCCTTTTGGCTTGAGGAGCCCCATGGTCCCTGGGGAGGGGAGACTCTAGACCCTGGAATAGCACAAAGACCTTTGGCGCTGCTGGCTCCCTGTCCCTCAGGGGCAAAGCCCACCCCCTACTTAACCCACCTCATTGCCATAGTGATTTGGCTTTGGGACATCAGCCTTTCTTCACTCAGCATGGCTTCCTGGGGGCTGCCACCCTACTTAGATGGGAAGCCCCCTGAGGGCAGGGCTGTTTCTCCCCACTGACAGAGGACTAAAGCCCCTTGAGGGAGGTGCCTAGCTGCCCTTCACCTGTGCCTTTTCAGAGCCCCCAGTAGGCTAGCTTCAGCCCTTGCTAGGATGCCTAATGGCTGAGCCCCAGCAGGGCACCCGGTCCCCACAGGCCTCTTCTCCCTCCTCCCCACTGGGAGAGACCTTAGATGTTGGCCTCTGCTTCCTTCTCAGCCTCCACTGCCCTCCTGAGTGCTGAGGGGAGCCCAGCACCCCCGATTCTCCCCTGGAAGCTAGATGTGGGCTCTACAGACAGGGTGGGGGTTGCTCCTGGGCTAACATCACATCCATGGCTGCAGTCCAGACCACCGCCTATCTAGCCTTGAGCCCCAGAGCATCAGTCACCTCAAGAGGGGAGTGGGCAGAGAGGTCAAGGCACCAAGATCCAAGTGCTACAGGGAATCCCAGGGCCAAGCTGGTCACAGCCCTTCTGCATCCAACCCTCCCCTAGGCCAATGCTACCCTGAAAGCTTCTGGCAAATACCTTGGTCTGACAACCTATCTGTGACTGCACCACAACTGGAGGACTCCCTTCTGGGTTGAGGACTCGGGACCATCCTGTACAAGCAAGATGATCAGCGGAGACACCCCTCCTATCCTTCCCTTACGCAGACACTGACCGAGCACATATTAAGTGCACAGATCCGGTGGAGGGAGGAGAGTTTTCCTGAGCACAGCTGCATGGGACTCCCTGGGCTAAGGACAGTCTCATTAAGGGGCAGTAACACCTGGTGCCATTCAGTGTCCCAGCCTCACCTCTACTTGGTCCCTGCCCAGGTCTCCGCCCAGGTTCTTCCAGTCCCTTGGCCATAGCTGGCTATGGAGGAGGGAGGGGTGCTGTAGGGGGCAGCACAGGCACCCTGGGCTCCAGCTGTGGCCTCTTTGTGTCGCTAGCTCTATAATTTCCGCTGGCAGGGCCCAGCCCCTAAGTCACCCCCTTCCCTACCTCTGGACCTGCTGGCCATTTGCCTGGGACAGGTCCTCAAGACAGGGCCATAATGCAGACTCACCCTCTTGGGCCTAAACAGACAGACAGACATGAAAGACAAACAAGCGCACACACTGGGTGCAGTGGGAATAGACCAACGCAGCAGGGAGCCTCACACCACACCCGTGCACCACACACGCCACGCGCAGGCCTCCAGGACGCATGGCTCAGGGCCACGACTTGGAGACAAGACCAGCAGGAGAAGGTGCCGTGGGGACCAGTTTCTTCAGAGGAAAAGGAGGGAGAGGTTCAGATTATGGGGTGGGCAGGGGCCTGGGTGTGAGGGCAAGGCACAGGAGAGGAGGGCAGGGTTGGCCTCCCCCTAGGGCTGCAGGGCAGGGGTGGGGCATCCTCTTCACTAGAGGACCACCAGCTGCCAGTTTCGGGAATGTCCTGCAATGTCCTTTTCCCCACCTGAAAACCCAGCCCTTCCGCACCCAAGGTTCTGCAGAGCACCCCAGATTCCACCCTTCCCCAGGAAGCAGCCCCTCGCAGTCCCCAACCCTGCATCTCCATCACCCAGCGGCTCCTCCTAACTCCAGGCCCCCTGCTGTGGCTTGAGCCCGTGGTCCCACTGCAGGGCCCTTAGCGGATGGAGCCCAGGTGCAAAACCATGTGTTTATTTTTATTAGAAATGTTCTTGGTATAAAAACAATCATGCGCTACACATTGTCATCAGTAACCATCACCAGACACCCAGGCACTGAACTCCGTGTTGTCGGCAGGAGGGGCAGGCGGGCAGGCGGGCAGGACACGTGGCAGACAGGCGGGGGCAGGCGGGCAGGCTGCGGGCCACAGGGACACACACAGAGGCCACCAGGAGGACGCAGCACTTCGCAACACACTCGAGATTTGTTTTTGTTTTGGCTTTTTTGTGTTTTGATTTTTTTTTCCTTTTTTTTTTTTTTTCTCTTTTGGACATGGAAGATTTTGTGGATCAGAAAAGGATGGTGGGGTGGGGGACTGGAGGAGAATGACAGGGACAGAAAAAAATGCATAAGAAGTGACATGGGGGGACAGAGAGGGAAGCCAGAGGAGCAGGACAGAGCAGATGGGGGGCAGAAAGAGAAGGTAGAAAAGCAACTGAGAACCCAGGTGACAGGGACTCGCAGAGGGAACAATGGTGATACCAGAGAATGAAGAGGAGGGGACAGAGGCAGACTGAGAAGTCACTAACAGGACAGATGAGGCAGTGGAGGGAGAACAGCTCTGGGCCCCAGGATCTGAGCCCCTGTGCTTCAGGCCGGGCGGCGACAGTCCAGGACGCAGGCTCTCCCGTGGCCCGAAGCAGCCCCGCCTGCCAGCCACCTCCGGTCGCCCCCCTGGCTTGCCCAGGCTGCCCAGTAGTGATGGCTGGGGGCTCCGCTGTTGTCAGCACCAAGCCACGTCCATGGGCACCATGGCAGGCAGGACCCCACTGGGCCCTCAGGAGCAGCTCTAGCTGGGTGCCCGTCCCCATGGGGCGCGGCTCCTCGGCTGCTCGGCTCCGTGGCTGAGCTAGATGGCATGGTTGGTGTATGTGACGTAGGTCTGTTTGGTGGCCAGAGCTGGAAGGAGAGAGACCAGAGGGGGTCAGGGGTCAGGGGCCACCTTCCTCAGCCATCCTTCCACACAGCGCCCTGCTCACCACCCAGGACCCAGGCCTCCAGCTCCGGCCCCCCTGCCACGGGCCTCCTGCTGACCCTGACCCCGCTCCCAGCGCCAGGTCCACTGTCCCCGCAGGGTGCCCTCCTTCACACCCCTGCCCAGGCGGGGCTGCTGTCCTGAGGACCTCCTGCCTCACTAACCCCCCAGCTGTACTGTGGAGGCCACCGAGCCACTGTCACTGCCTGGCCCCACCACATACTGACGTCATGATCTTATTGGTGCAGCTGTGTGACCTTGAACTCCCGCAGAGGAGAAGTCTTGTGGAAGACAACCACAGGCGCTGTGGGAGAGCACGTGTGAAGAGTGTCCCTTAAACATGGGGGCAGTGGCGGGAGGAGTGAAAAACAGAGGGCGCCTCACTCTGGCGGAAACAGCCTCAGAACTGAAGTGGCCCTCTGCCCTAGGGAATTGCAGGGCCCCAGCCCGGGCCTCTGGGCCTCTGCCTTTCCATTTCTTGGCGCCCCGTCCCCTCCTCCAGTCTTGAGACCTTTTTGTCCGCCTGTCCCTCTTCTACCCCACAACTGGGAATGGCCTGGACCTCTGGGTGTCTCCTGTTTCCTGGCCACAGCCCCCGGGGCCCTCTCCCCACAGATCCCGGTCCAGTGTCAGCTCTAAAGCCAGATGTTGACCTGAGTGTCCCCTGCCATACTGGAGGACAGAACTCACAGCGCCTAGTGAGAAGGCCAGAGAAGTGCCACTCCATTTGACAGAGGAGAAACTGAGGCCAGAGGTGCAAGGGTTCTGGCCAGACTTCAGCTTTGTCCTGTCCCTCCAGGGCTCAGGCTCTGTCTCAGTGGTTAGTCACCAGGGGCAGTATTGCTGCCCACTGAGGGGCTGTCTGCAAGCTCAGAAGGAAGAAGCTGCCCTGACCCTCTGCTGGGCTCTTGTCAGCTTGGAAGAGGAAGCACACCTGGCAGCTGAGGAGGGGAACATCTGGCCTAGAGAAGAGGAAGCCAGGAGACCAGTGTGCTGGTCTGCAAAGCATCCCCAGTGCGCCAGCCTGCCTGCCTTCCCTGGGGGCAGTGTTACCCAGCCTCCCTGGCAGCAAAGTGGGGCCTCCCGTGGCTACAGTCTCACAAATGAGATGAGGGAAGGGACTTTGTGCAAACTTCTAACTAAAGCAGAGTGTGTCCCCTGGACTTCCTCTTTTCCCATCTTAGAATGGACACTGTGGTCAGCTAGCCTCAACCCACTAGGAGCCAAAAGAACAAGATGGAAGGAACCTGGGCCCCACTCCGGCCCCATCAGGTCACAGAGAAACAAACATCAGTCTGATTTGAGTCTCTGTTCTGTGCTGGGACCTTTTTGTCATAGCAGCTTAACCAAACGAGTACAGGCAGCACTGCTGTGTCCACGGGGCCCATCGTGTGTGGAGGGGAAGGGGCGAGCTGGGGCCACCACGGGAACAGCAGGGAGGCAGGAGGACCAGATTCCAGCCTGGCTGGAGGAAGAGCTCTCTCCTGGCCAGAGCTGGGAGCGTGCCTGTCACGGCAATGTTCAAGCAGAGGATGAACAGTCACCGTCCGCCCCCTGCTTGGCTGGGTCTGTTCCCTGCCTGCAGCGAGAGCGAGTGCGGTGGCCCCTTTTGCTGAGGCTTTTTTTCCTGAGGGGCTGCCAACCACCTCCTCCACCCCTCCCAAGCCCCCATGGTCAGAAAGAGCCTGCGGCTGGCTCTGCCAACCCCTGCAGCAGGCCCGGCCACTGAGAAGCGGCCCCCCAGGGTGGGCTCCGTCACCCCCCGGGTGAACTGAGAAAATTGAGTTTCCAAACCTGTAAAGCCCTCCAGCGGCTCCTGGCTCACAGGTGAGAGAAAAGCTCAGCAGCATCCAGACCCCTGGCTGCAGGGGACGCCAGCTGAGCCTGCTGCACGAGGACAGAGGGACAGCTAGGCTTTCCCCATGGTGTCCTCTAGAAAGGCCAGTTCATGGGCTCTGGCACCCGGGGGAGGTGGCCCTCAGCTACAAGCCAGGGCCTGAGTCCCCCAGGTGAGCCTCAGTCTCACCAGCCAGAAAATGGGAGCCGTGTGTCCACCTGGGCCCCTGAGCTCTACGCAAGGCTCAAAGAGAGTCCGCCCAGGAGCTGGGGGACCTGGCCAGCCCTGGCCTCGCCACAGCATCTGCCAAAGGCCATATGTCAAAGTGACCCTCTCAGAGCTGCACTTTGCCCATCTGTAAATGGGTGATGATAAACCCCATGGCTGGCTACCAGCCAAGGGTGGATTAGACCCTCCAGAGCCTACAGAACGCTGGGCAGAGGGCAGGGCAAGAGGCCACACTGACAACGGGCACAGTGACACTGTGGAGCATCTTCAGGAGAGTGAAGGGGCAGGGGTGTGGCAGAGGGCCATGGCCACCCCTGACTGATGACAGGCCTCCTTGCTGTTCTCTAGGAACTGGAGGCTCAGATGACAATTAGCTGGTGGCACAAGGCGTGAGCTGACAGTCCCCATTTGTTGCCCCATGTCCCCGCGCCCAATCTGCCTGCAATCAGGCCCTCAATTATTTATTCTGTTGTTTGTTTAAAGATACGCGGCCTGCCAGTGACAGAGTGAAAAATGTCCCTGCTCCACAAAAGTGACACCTCCCCTCTCCTGCTTGAACTCCCCCAGTCTGGCTGTCCCAGGAATCTGTCGCTGGGTGCCTGCGTGACCCCTGTCACCGCACTGAGAGACAGCGAGGGCCGGGGCACCTCGGCCTCCATGGCAGGGTGCCAGCTCTCAGCCATCCCCCACAGGAGTAGGGACCAGGATGCTGCCCCCACTTCAGGCGACCAGCCAAGCAGACGCAAGGACAATGTCAGTGTTGGGCCATCACAGCTCTCCTGGAGGCCCCTGCCCTCGACGGTCCCCTCTGGCTGTCGCAGCACCATTACTGTCCCCTTCTGGGAGTGGCTCTCAGGAGCACTGGGGTGAAGCCCACAGGCACAGCAGGTCCTGCCCCGGCACAGGCTCAGGGCCTGGAGGAGGGAAACCCTTTGGGTGGGTGCAGGAAGGGCTCTGCCTCTGGGCCCTTCCTGGCTAGGCCTGGGGAGGGCTTAGCGTGGGGATGCTGGACATCCAGGTGGATGTGGAAGGCCAGAGCAGAAGTCCTGTGAGGACGCTCTGCCCTTTCCCATCTTGGTATGGAGGGCCAGGGAGGTACCTGAGGGGAGGCCTAGGGTCACAGTGGGGGTAAGGAAGGGTAGGACTGGAGGGAATCAGACTCATGAGGGTATCAATCAAAGGGGTGGTGTCAGGAGCCAGGCATACTGCTCCACACAGAAGGTGGGGACCACAGACAGGGAGGCTTCGTGAGTCAGAGCCAAGGAAAAGACACCACGGTGGGGTCTGCTAGTCGCCATCTTGCTGTGTGACTTCAGGAGAGCCATACACCCTCTCTGAGCCTCAACTCAGGATCAAACCTCTCGCCCAACCAGGGCCTCTCAGGACCTGTGAAGATCACTCAGTGGGGAAAGGACTCTGAGAGTGAAAAGCCCCATTTGGAAGTGAAGGAGACTTGCCTCCCTTTCAGTTAAGATTTATTCTGTCAACGCACTAAACATGGCTGAGGAGGGAAGGAAGGTGCTTCATCCAGGGTCTTAGGATGGGCTGCCCCCCCAGATAGCCCGGGCGGAAGGTCTCCTGTTTCTCCCAGCCGTGAGGTGAATCACCAACCAAGGGCCTCCTCTCTCAAGCTGGGCTCGGGGCCTCCTCAGGGTCCAGCCCACGCCCCAGCTAAGCACCTTAGCAAGATGGCATCTCAAAATTTAAAATAAAAAGGGCTGGGGGTGTGGCTTGGTAGTTAAGCACCCAGGTCCAATCCCTGGTACCAAAAAAAGGTCACTTCTGGACCTTCCCCAGAACTAGAGGGAGGGAACCCAGGGTCTCTTCCCAGGTCCCCCAGGGTAGAAACCTGTGGGAACAAGGGCTCTTGACCCCGGCCCCGCAAAAGCCTCCCAAGACTTGAGTGGGGGCGGATGCAGAAGGAGCTGCATTTGGGCCACTTTCAGGTCCAGGGAGGGAGCCACGGCCTGCAGAGGATCCGGGTGACCACAGCCACCTCTCTGTTCCACACGGCCCCAGAGCAGCTGGGAGTGAGGCCTGGGGAGGCCCTGGTGCTACGCGGGCAGAGGACCCCATCTGTATGAGAAGGCAGGGGCAGCAGGTGGCTCGGTGACCCTCCCCTCCTGGTCCTCATCTGTAAACACACGATGTCAAGTGCCGCCTTCCGGGTGCCTGCAGGACAGGAGCATCAGGGAGTAGGCGTGGCCCAACTACGGGGACCTGTCCTGCCACGTCCTCGCACCCCGCCCCCGCTCCTGGCTGCCCCTGATCCCCACACGGAGAGCCGAGGGCCGGCTCCACCAGGAAGAGAGACACCGCTGCCTCCCTCTGCAGCCCTTCACCGGGGCGCCCTGGGGAACGAGATCCCTGCTGCCCTCCCTCCGGTCATCCTGGGTCTGCGACTCAGGCATCTCGTCCTGGAGAGAAGCTCACACACACCCGGCAAGCATGGCCTGCCCCTGCTGAGCCTCCTGACGACCCCCGGGTCACACTGCCACCTGAGAACTTCAGCCTCTGTAGGTCCCAAAGCCCAGCCCGCCCCTCACTCACCTGTCCTGGCCGGCCCATGTCCTGGGTCCCCATCTCTCAGGGCCCTGCTAGGGGGCTGCTGGACAAAGCCAAGTGGGGTGTTACAGCTGCTCTGGCACCAGAGCCCCTCCCAGGTCACCAAACGGCCAGTGGCAGGGCCCCCCTGAGCAACCCATCCTCCCTGAGGCACTGGAAGGGCAATCTCGGGGTCCCACTGCCAGCATCACCACCACTAGAAGGGGGCGGAAGCACAGGGTTCAGGGGACTCTGCTCCCCCAAGGCCACCAGGACGGGTGAGACAGCACGGGCTTCAGCCTGGTGCCCAAGCTGTCCCTGAGCCCCCTACGGACTGGTGCTCGTCTGTGGCCTGGGGGTGCTCCGAGTGTCCCCAGAGATGGCAGCCAGGGGCCATGGCCAGGAGCGCCTCCCCAGAAGAGGCGGGACTGGGCAGGTCCCTGGGCTGGGGCCAGGCTGGGGCGGCCACTCACCTGGGGCCTCAAGGTTCTCGCAGAGCTCGGACTTGGCCTCCCCATTGGGACGGAAGTTGCCCTTCTGCGTGAACTTGTTGGACATGGTGGCGGCGGTGACGACGGCTTTGAGGCTGCGCTTGCGCTTGGGCACATTCTGTTCCGGGTGGAAGAGGATGATGTAGACCTTGGGCATGTAGAGCATTCCCAGGGACACGGAGGCGCTCAGGCTCACTGAGACTGTCAACGTCGTCGTCTGGATGTACAGCTGCAGGTGACCGGGTGGCAGCATCAGAGCCAGCTCTCCCAGGGCCTCCCGGCCCAGACCCTGCCCAGGACCCACGTGGTGTCTGCTTCAGGGGACAGACCTGCCTGTGTCTGCTGGCTTCAACCAGCTGGATTTTAGACCAGAGTTCCTGGACTCCAACCTGGGCTCCAGCTGTGATCATGGGCAAGTCATGTCCTTGTGCCCTACGGGAACCATGATCCCAGCACTCGCCCCTCAGGGCTGTTGGGTGTCCTGACCTAACACTAAGCGTGGGAACCTTGCCAGGCAGGTGATCGCAATGGCGTTGCCACAGCTGCATTCTAGCTGGGGGACATCCTTGAGGAGGGCCTCTCATGGGAGCACGGCTGACCTTCTCAGGAATGGTCCCCCGAACAGGGCAGAGGGTGACAACCACCTGTTGGTACCTTGAAATGACTCCCAGTGGCCGTGCCACTGCCTGCACACCAGCCCCTCATTCAGTGACTGTCCCTCTCCCCAAGTGCCAGCCTGGGAGAGCAGGCCCTTGGCATGGGACCCACAGCACCCGGCACAATACAGCGGTGGCAGCACAGTCAAAGCTCATTTCACGCTCGTGTGCCAGCGCTAACGGTGACAGATGTTTAGTGAAATGAAAGCCCATTAATCTGGGTGTCGGGTAATCCGTTCTTCAATAGTGGCGCTTTCCAGGCAGGCCGGTGGGCCCAGCAGCACCCCCCCCCCAGGCCTGGGGTTCCCTCCAGGGCTCCAGGCCTCAACCGCCCTCTGGCCTCTCAGCCAAGACGGCGCCAGGGGAGACCCAAGCTGCACCTACCAGGTCCAGGGGTGGAGGAGGCCGAGCGTCCCCATCCTCAGATCAGATGGCCCACGCCCTGCCCAGGGCTGCCTCCCCAGGAAGGCTTCCCGGCCCTCAGGGATACCTTCACTTGCACCCAGACCAGCAGTGGGGGACACAGCTCTGGACTGGCTTCCTGAGGTCATGGGCCCTGGCCCCATCGGTGGCCCCTGGGGATAGGGGCCAGATGTCCCACTGTCATACTCCTCCCTGTGACCTGTCCCCAGCCTCACAAGCGCCTCATGACACTGGAACCAAAGGCCTGCCTTCCCAGCCACCCCTCCCAGAGGTCTGAGTGTCTAAGAGGAGAGTCGCTCTCTCGGGTCTCAGTGTCTTCATCTGTACCAGGGTGACAGCATCGACCCAACCATGAGTTACCCAAGCACAGATGGCGAGGCCACACGGAACCTGCTCTAAGTAATCACAGGTGCCGAGACCTGCCGGCCTGGCACACAGCCTCGATGCCCCCACGCCCAGGAGATGGCAGCCCTCAACTCCCTGTGTCTGCTGGTAGCTCGGCCCGGACGCAGCCAGGCTCCATCAGGGAGGCGGGTGGAGAGGCTGTTCCACTGTTCTGCACAGAGCCACAGTCAAAGTCACAGTCACATTCTTCTGTCCCCCAGTAAGCATGTGCCCCCAGACACAGGCAAGCCCCAGTCCTCACCCGCCATCCACGCTCACCCCAGCACAGAGCTCCCTTCCTGGCAGGACAGGGCAGGACAGGCTGGGGATGACCAGGTGGCCCTGGGGGACAGGTTCCTGAGGAGGATCACAGATCACTGGAGACCTGGCAGCTTGAGAACAGCTTTGTCATCTGGGTCTTCCCTCTCAACTGGGAGGTCCCTGGGGACAAACTGTGTCTCCCTCATTGAACTGGAGCTTCCCCGAGGGCAGAGCTGTCTTTGCTTTCATCTGGGGGCTCTTGGGCACAGGCTGTGTTCCAGGCCAGATGCCCATCTTACCCCCCTGCCTCCACCTCACTGATGGGAGGGTTTGCACCTGGGCCCATAGGAGCCGGCGAGGCTGGGATGGAGCCTCTCTCTGGGCAGAGTGAGCATGCAACAGACGCTGTGTTAGGGGTTGGCACTGGGCTCCAGGTGCCACTCCGCCCTGGCCTATGTGGTGCTGAGCAAGTCTGCCCCACTCTCTGAGCACAGCACCTCAGCAGGCAGATCTGACTTCACGGGGACTGTTGCTAGGCAGGGCCCACAGTGGTTTAACGCCCTGCTGCCACCATCGTGAATTCTGAACCATTTCTGCACAAAGGGCCCTGAAAATGGTGCTAACCCTGAGCCGTCGTGGCGCTCTGCACTGCTCTGTCCTCCAGCCCGAGAGCCTTCGGATGACAAAACACAGGAAAGGCACAAAGAGACCAAACAGAGCAAAGGTGCCCTGTAACCTGTTGGGCCCGGCATGAGCCCTCCAGGCTCCCTTAGCCACCCCAGCTCTGCCCACCCCAGCTTCTCTCCCTGCCCCAGCACGTGGCACCCCCCTGCACCCCTGGAGCCTGCCTCGGGCTCGGCATTRTTTCTGGCATCCCTGTGTGAAGGTGCACGTGGTCACCAGGAGGTGGTGGCAGGTGAACCCTTCTCATAGAAGCAATGGGCCCACAGAACCCAGCAGCCACCCCTGAGGGAATGCATCCAGGCACCAGGAGGAGGGTCCTAAGGCAGGCAGAAGAAGAGGCGGCCACTGGAGTGCGGTGACTTCAGTTCTCTCCTGCAACTCATCCCTGGCCGGCTACACGCTGACCTCCACCATCCCTGGTCACACTCCACCTTCATGAGGAGCCCTGCACAATCCTCACCAGCCACCGGCTCCCAGAGTGCAGGAGGTTGTCCACCCTGGACTTGGTGGAGGCAGGGGCACAGAAAGAGCATCCATTGTGTAGATAATGTTTTCGGGTTTCATGGGAGGCCGGGGGGGGGGGGGGGGGGGGGGAGTGTGCCAGGGGCTAGACAAGGAGCTGAGCTCTGCTGCTCTTGGCTTCTTCCCAGGGCACCCCCTGGGGACAAAGATTCTCAGAATCTGTATGAACCAGACCATAAGCCCACACACACCCTGGTTGGCTTTGCCACCACGTCCTGCCCCAACCTGGCTGAGCAGTCACCCGCCCGGTGGAGAAAGCCTGCTCAGGACGGCTCTGGTAATGCCCAGGGCTGCGGGGCTAAGCCCTGGAAATCCGGGCTAATGCTGGGAAATCCGTCCGCCCGCTCAGCAGAGAGGCAAGACAGCTCCACTCCACCAGCACCTGCGCTCCAGGGACAGGCCCGGTTCAGCCAGCACCCATGGGACACACCACGCTCCTCGCACTCGCTGTCACACTGCACACCTGTACTCCTGCACCTCTGAGCTCACATGTGCACACTCATGCCGCAGACACCCGCTACCCAGGTGCACTCCAGCACAGCTGTGCAGTCACCTGTGTGTACCCACTCACTCCTGCACCCCCACACTTGCACATCTGCATGCAAATACACTTCTAGGAACACACACTCAATCTGCACACTTATATGCACACTGGCAGCTAGGAACCCCTCGGCACGCACACTGCCCAACTACGAGCACAAAAGGGCACACTCAGACCTGTCCACACACACTTCTGTACCTGTGTCACAACTCCTGACAACCGCCCCACCCCCCACTGACCCATACACACAAGAACATGCACACCCGTGGTCACACGTGCCGCTTGCACGGGGGCTTTTCCTAGCTCTGGTGCAAGTGACACAGCCCAGACACAGCCCGGAGGCTGCCTGAGCCTCTGAGAAGCCTGGGGCCCGAACCCATATGGACTTCAGAGCGTATGTCCACCACCATGCCACTCAGAGGCCCAGAGAGGGACTGGGTGGCAACCACGGCCCATGCCCCCATGGGTGGAGCTGGATGGTCCACTCAAGTCTCTGTCCCTCTGTGGGACTGTGAAGGGATCATCTTGGGCTCTTTCATGGTCAATGCTGAGGCAGCCTAAGGAAGAAGGCATCAGAGACGGGTGGGCAGCCTGGAGACGGGGAGGGGACGCTGGGCCCTCAGCCCGAGGCAGAGGGTCCTGAGACTTGGGATGACAGGAGCCCACTGGGGAGGGAGTGCGGCAGCAGTTGGGAATCGCAGGGGAGGAACGGGCTTCCCATCAGCTGCGGCCCCGTAGTCCTGGCTCCTCAAGGAGGCAGGAAGAGGCCTCTGGTGCTGCCCAGGGTGATTTCTCAAGCTGCAACTTCCTGGTGGGTGGGACCAGCCACCCAGCCAGCTCCAGGGACCTGGTGGGCACAGAGGGACATGGGGCCTATGCCTACTCCTGCCCTTAGCAAGGAGGGCCTCCCACAGTGGGGGCCACAGAGCTCGGTCCCACTGTGTGCTGGGGAGGCAGTGACCTGGCTCAGACACGGGGGCATGGCATCCCTCACTGAAGCCAGGCCTGGTCTCAGACCTCAGGCCACTCCCTGCCAGGCCCAAGGTCTGTGTCTTGGAGCCCCCCAGTCCCCAAACCTGCCACCAGAAGACACACTACAGGTTTGCCTGAGCAAAGCCCAAGGGATTCTGGGTGAAGGACGCAGCTCCTGCCCTTGAGGGAAGGAAGTGGGCGCCTACCAAGGATGTCCCAGGGCAGTGAAAGTGTCCCAGGGCTGCAGTGCAGGGGCAGTGGGGGTTGGAGGAGGGAGGGTCCTGAGCTAGACAGAGACAGCTCAAGTCCAGTTGTGCCATCTACTGGCTGTGTGATCTTGGGCAAGTCACTTTACCTCTCTGTGCCTATGTCTTGGTCTGTAAGTGGGGGTGGTGATACTTACCCTTGCCAGCTGAGGTAGGGCCTGGTGGCACATGACAGGTACCCTGTCCATGGCAGTTTTGCAGTGCCTCTGTAAAGGCCAAGCATCCCCAAGAGCTCATGCCTGGGCCCCCAGCTTCACGCTAGTCCCCAGTTATGTCTCCACCTGAAGTCAACCCTCTCTCAGCTGCTGATGTGACAGCTGCACCTGGACATGTGTAGGTGCCCCAAACTTGGCACGTCCAAAGGTCCCCAGATCCTGCCCCACACAGCCTCCTGTCACCTCCCTCTGCTTAGTACACTGGAACTCTGTCCTCCTGGTCACTTGGACCAAAACCTTGGAGTCATCGTGATTCCTCCTGGGCTCCCCGGGCACGAGCCACCAGAAGCTGCCACCTCTTCTCCAGACACCCAGACTCCCCTGCGTCTCGCCACTTCTGCTGCATCACCTCCTGCCCCCCACCACAGCGGCCTCCTCACAGCCCTGCTCCCATCTCACCTGGCCAGGGCCCACCAGCAGCCAGCGTGCTCCTAACCCTGCACCAGGTGGCCAGGTGTGCCCTCCCTCTGGGCTCTCTGATTGCTCACAGGAGCCGGGTCCTGCCCCCAGCCTCTGGGTCTTGCCATTGGCCTGTTGCCTCTCTGACCTGGTCCCTCGCCTTGCCCGCGTCCCCAGTCCCACTCCTTAGAGTCTGCACTCACTGTCTCACACTGTGACAGCGCCTGGAAGGACCGTAGGAAGGCTCGTGGTCCCATCTTATGGTGAAGAACCGGCCAGCGAGGCCGGCCAGCTTGCCCAGAGGCCACGTTTAGACGGGAGCCCAGGCCGGGAGCCGGGATCCTCGTCGGCCAGGGTGCCTGGCCTCAGCGACTCCCAGCCCTTCCCAGTTACCCAGGCAGCGCCGGGCTGTGTGGGCAGAGTCCACGGGGGCCTCGGTGTACAGACCCCAGGCCAGACAAACGGCCCTCAGCTGGCACTGCCAGGGCCCGGGCTGCTGGGCCTCAGGGCAGCTTGGGGCTGGCTAGAGAGGAAGCGAACCCCTGAGACACATCACACCTCCAAGGGGCAGCAGGCCCAGAGGAAGACGGGGCGGGGTCCAGAAAGCACATGAATGGGGGCGCAGCACCCTGCGCTGATAAATGGGAGGGGGAGGGGAAGGGAGGGCCAGGCAGGCAGAAGGGGGGGGGGAAGGGAAGGGGAAGGGGACACAAAGAGGGAAGAAAGGAGAAGGATACAGAGGGAGAAGGTGGAGTGGCAGGAAAAGGGAAGGAAGAAGAGGAGGCAAGCCCAGAACCCTGGGGAAGGACTTGCACCCCGTAGAGAGTGGGCAGCAGGAAGCATGGGGGGCAGCCTGGGAAGCTGCCATGTCCCCATCCCCCACCCGCCCTCCATCCACCTCCTTCCCCCCTGCCCCCCCACCCTCCACCCACCCCCTCTCCCCCCCTGGCCACCCCCACGCACCTTGTCCGCGGACTGCGAGGTGCCAAAGAAGATGGGGATGAAGGCCAGCCAGACGATGCAGGTGGTGTACATGGTGAAGCCGATGGGCTTGGCCTCGTTGAAGGTCTCGGGCACGCCGCGCGTCTTGATGGCGTACACGGTGCATGTGACCATGAGCAGCATGCTGTAGCCCAGCAGGCAGATGAGCGACAGGTCCGAGATGTCGCACTTGAGCACCCCCCTGGCGAAGCGGGGATCGAGCGTCCGCTGGTCCTGGAAGTCCACCACCGAGTGGGAGGGGTCCACCACGAACCACACGCAGATGCCCAGCAGCTGCAGGGAGATGAGGCTGAAGGTGATGGCCAGCTGCGAGGCGGGGCTGATGAAGCGCGGGGCGCTGACCGACCGCTTGCCCTGCTCGAAGATGCGGTAGATGCGGTTGGTCTTGGTGAGCAGTGCGGCGTAGCTGATGCTCATGCCCAGCCCCAGGAAGATGCGGCGCAGGGAGCAGGTGCCCAGGTCCGGCTCGGCGATCATCAGGAAGGTGGTGGCATAACACAGGAAGATGCCCGCCAGCAGCACGTAGCTCAGCTCGCGGCCCGAGGCCTTGACGATGGGTGTGTCATTGTAGCGCACGAAGGTGACCACCACAAACAGCGTGGCAGCGATGCCCACCACGGCCAGGAAGAGGGGCAGCACTGCCCAGGGTGAGTCCCACTCGAGCTTGATGATGGGGATGGGCCGGCAGCCTGTGCGGTTCTCTGTGGGCCTCATGTCGTAGGGACAGGTCTTACAGGTGTAGCGGTCCACCTGGTACTGGTACCCCGTGCAGGGCTCGCAGTGCCAGCAGCAGGGCATGCCCTTCACCGTCTTCTTCCGCTCACCCGGCTGGCAGGGCAGGCTGCAGATGGAGCGGGGCAGCTGCTGCCCGCTCCCCGGCCAGTGCATCCTCTCTGTCTGGCAACAACAGCACCACAGAGTGGACCTCAGGACATGCCACCCAGCGCCCCGCCCACCCCACGGGGCGGTGCCCCACACCTACATGGGACAATGAGTTGGCTCAAAATGCAGCTGCCTGGATCCCACCAGGACTCACTGCATCTGACAGCTGGATTTAAACAAGCTCCAGGCAAGACACTGACCTGGGGGCAGCCCAAGTGACTCCAAAACTCTGAAGACTCCTATGGAGACACTGCGCCCAGAGAGCAGTAGTGACTACCTAGTGTCACACGGAGGCTCCACAGCAGGGCACAGAACTCAGGATCCTGATTCCCAGTCCCTGAGGCCTTGCCAACAGCAGCGGCAGCACCCAGGAGCAGCACCCAGGGAAATGTATGTTCAGCCCCACCCCAGGGACCACCCCAGGTTCTGTGTTCCAGCAGGAACCCCCTAGCCCGTGATTGACGCGCACTTCAGAGCAGGAGATGCGCTGCCCCAGCTCAGCCCCTGGCACTTCCACCCAGCGGCAGAGGGAGCGGGCTGCGCAGAGAGTGAGGAGGAACCAGGATTTAACCAGAGGATGCTGGACGGGCGCCCAGGGGGTAGCGTTTCCTTACTTCCTGCTCTAAATTAGCACTGCTCACATTCCACGTCTCTGGAGATACAAACGCTGGGAGCAAAGAAGTCACAGAGTGCTGTCGCGCCCTGCTGAAGGTGCCACAACATCTGGAAAGTAAACACGTGGCCCCAAAGAGACGAAGAGGGCGGCGCAGGGCAGAGGGAGCCCGACTGCCTCGGGGCCTGGTCAACGCGTTGCTCTAAAGCAGCAGCTGCCCCCCGGGGAGCTCGTTCCCCGGGGAGCCCAGCCACCTGGCCCCGAGTGTGTGTGTGTGTGTGTGGGGGGGGGTCCTGGAGAAATGTAGCCAGTGGTTTGGGGGCTGCTCAGAGGGTTTCGAGCGGAGAAAAGCAGCAGGGAGGGGGCAGGGAACCCAGAGCCGGCCTCGTGGCAGGTGGGAAGAGGTTATAAGAGGTTTGTTCTGTGGCTCTGGGCCTTATAAAATGTGTCACCCGAGTAGCCAGAGGGACAGCAGTGACCAGCACAGGGTCTGGAGGAATGAAAAGGCCCTCGCCATCCCTGCCCACTGAGCCCCCCGCAGGGGAAGACCTTCCTCCCAGCTCACAGGACCATCGTGGGTGTTCTGGAAACCTCTGTGGTTCCAGGGGAAAGGACAGCAGAGGTGGTCAAGTCCTAGGATCACGGTTCTGTGGCGAAGGGACTTCACAGCCCTGAACAGGACCTTGGCCTCTCGGGCCTTCGTTTTCTCATCTAACTTAGCCACAGCAGGTAGGACGGCACCTTGCCCCTCCTTACTTAAGGGCAGTCCCCTGGAGGTCTTCATGGGACAATTTTAATACTTCATGGAAACAGCAGCTCCGGGAGGACAGGACATTGCTGCCCTGGCTGCTGGAGAGATGGCCACACCTGGGCAGCCAGGCTCAGCTGTAACGAGAGGCCCTGGCTCAGCCCCTGGGGAAGACAGTTTCAGGTAGCAGAAGCCTCCCCCGCGGGTCCCAGAGGGCCCACAGTGCAGCCCAAACAAAGCCACCTAAGGAGAAAGCCAGCCAGGCCCAGCCAGCCCACGGCTCCAGCAGCTGACCGCCATCTGGGCCTCCAGGCAAGGGGGACCGAGGACCAGGAGGGCATCACGGGCTGGGCCAGGCTGGGCCCTGGAGATGGCCAGGCCGAATGCAGGGGCTTGTATTGCTCGGGGAGGAGTCCAGGGCCACCTCCACAGACCCCTCCCTTCATCAACAATCTGGGCAGTGGGGACAATGGCAGTGCCTACCTCGGAGCTGCCACCCTCACAGGAAGGCACCATGCTCAGGACAGCCCTGGTGCACGCAGTGCTCAGGAAACCAGCAGCCAGCCTGCTCTGCCCTCTGCCCCCAGGGAGACACCTCCATTGCCCGTCGGGCTCCACCTTGCTGAGTGCCCCCGCCCTGATCTGTCTGTTCACAGCCAGGGGCCTCCTCACAGGAGGCTCTGGGTGCCCTGGGAGAGCTCCTTTGCCTCCTTGGGGCTGGTTTTCCTGACCTGTGTCCTCTGGCCTAGAAGGGACTGCATGGTGCTGGGGGCTAGAGAGTGTCGCAGGAGGACACGGGGACACCATAAAGCTCTCCCAGCATCCTGGAAGAAAGAGGGCTGAGGCCGGGTTAGGAGCTGGTCTCCTCAGTCTAGCCCTTTAAGGTGTCACACTATGCCCACCAGAGCACAGCTCACCCCTTCACCCTTGCAGGGCAGTGACATGTCCACAGGGGTGTCCCTAAGGAAGGAACTGGTGGTATTTTCTCTTCCCAAACAAGCCTCTATTTCACAGATGGGGACACTGAGGGCTAGAGGTAAAGCCACCACATTCCTGGGTCATTCTGCGAGCTGGGAAGGTGTGACTAGGAGAACCCAGAAAAATGACTGCCATCTAGCGTGGTTTGAAGGGATGGGGACTCACTCCCTGGCCACAGCCAATGCCAGAAACCCAGCGCCTCTCTGTGCCCCACCATGAGACTCCACCCCCTGTCCAGACGCAGACTCCCAAGTGGCCCCTCCCGCCAAGCCTCTGGCCAGGTCTGCGTGTGTGAATTCCTCTCTCCAGAGCCCCCAGGCTCCCTTGGGGAGCAGCCTGGAAACCCCTGAGCCTTGGGAGAGGACAAGGCACAGAATGGCAGCAGAACTCCAGGCACTGCCGGGCACAGTGGCACACGCCTGTAATCCTAGTGGCTCCAGGGGGGTGAGATAGGAGGACCCCAAGTTCAAAGCCAGCCTCAGCACTGGTGAGGCCCTCAGCAACTCAGTGAGACCTGTCTCTAAATAAAATACAAATAGGGCTGGGGATGGGGCTCAGTGGTCAAGTGTCCCTGAGTCCAATCCCCCGTATGCACCCCCCAAAAAATAAACTCCAGGCATCCTGTTCTATTTTGGGGTGAGGTCTGGGAGAGACCCTGGGAAGGAGGCCCGGCTGGCAGCCACGCCTTCCATTGGCGCCCACCCACAGCTTGGGATGGCATGAGCCCCTACAGGCCCCTCCCGCCCCGCTTACTCGGAGGTGGAGGTGGTCTGTCCAGGAGCCAATGACCTTGTACTCGGCAGAGCCGTTGCGCAGCTGGTACTGGTAGATGTCATAGCGCCCAGGGGCATCTCCATTCTCATTGAAGGTCACGGGGTTCCCTGCGATGCCTGTGGGTGGGGTGTCTCGCTGAGCCTCTACACAGAGGCAGAGACATCTCTGGGAGGCCCCTCCGTGGAACATCTCGGGGTCCCTCCTCCTGGAGGTAACTGAGGAGACTCCCATTTCCAACCCAGGAGCCCCAGGACTCCTTCCCGCAGCCCAGGACCCCGGGGTTGAGCAGCGCCCTGCGCCACGCCCCCACCTGAGAAGTTGACGTTTCGGATGTACTTAAGCAGCTGGGTGCCGTCCACGGGGTCCATGCGGGGGCAGAGCCCCACGCGACCAGGACACAGGTCTCGGTGCATGGCATGCAGCGCGTGGCCCATGGCATACACAGCGTCGATCACAAACTGCACCTTCCCCTCCTGTTCGTATGCCGAGTCCTGCCCAATGCGCTCGCGATCTGAAACGAGACCCCCAGGACCGGGTGCCTGTGAGCCCCCCATCTCACAGTGGAACCAGAGTGGCCGTTGGGGCCTGGAGGGGCGGCCCAGCCAGTCCATGCACACATCAGGGCTTGCTCTGCCACCCCGGGAGCTGGTCCTGCAGGGGCACCAAGGAGATGAGAGGGTGCACTGTCCTGCCATAGCACCACTCACGGCTGGGTTCCCCGCGACCCCAGAAGAGCCAGGACGCCCCGTCACCTGCCACCCTGTAGCTATGGAGTAGCTGCACGGCTCAGGCTAGGGAACGGCCAGGACCGGGCTGTGCCTGTCACAAAGGAGAGCCATGCTCCCAAAGCAGCTCACCACGGACAGCCTCTGCAGCCAGAGGACGCCAAGCTCACCCCAGGCTGCAGGTGGAGACACGGAGGCCCAGGGAGACTGTCTGGTCTCCTGAGGCCCTCAGTGGTTTCCAGCCATTCCAAACACCTGAGTCACCATCATCCCCAGCCACTCCATCTCCACCTCAGTAACAGCCTCCCCCAGGAGCCAGGGTGGGAGAACGTGGCAAAATGGGGAATGGCCTCCATCACCCCCTCACTGTCAACTGCCACAGCCCTCCAGGCCTCGAGACTCTGACCTGTCCTCGATGCCCACCCAAGCTCTGCAGCATGGCTGTGTGACGCTCCTGTGCCGGGAGCCATGCATGAAATGTGCGAGTCCCAAATCGACATGGAAGCCATTGGGCAGGACAGTCTGGTGTTGGAAATGCCCAGCGCAGCTGTCCCTGCTGGTTTGAGACCGACTGCCCACTACGTGTGACTTCCTACTCCGCTCAGCCAGGCTCAGCACTTCACTGGACTCGGGTGACCCACTGGAGCCACACAGCCCAACGGCCTCTCAGAGGTAGGTGTAGCTTCCAAGATGCCCACAACCTGTTGCCTGCTGGTCACCACCAGGCAAGGCTCCACCCCTGAAGCCTATTCCTGCCCTGGATGCTCTGTCAATCAAGAGCCAGAGCGGCTGCCAGTTGTCCAGCTCTGCTCCTGTGGGCCCGCAGGACCTCTCAGGCACCGTCTTCCCTTTTAAGTCTAACTTCTGGCTCTTATTTCTTTACTAATTATTCCAGATTTTCTTTTTCTCAGGTGGTTCACACCTTCTGAGCAGGAAACTATTCCGGTGGGGTGCTGGCCACCCTGCGATACTCCTGGGCTGCCAGAGGCCTCTGGGTCCTTGTCAGTAGAAAGAGGATCATAACTGCTCCAGAGGCATGAGGCTGCAGTGGGGTGAGGTACAGAAACACTGGGCACAGAGTGGACGGCCAGCATGTAATGCTGCGTGCAAGGTCACAAGGGAGGCTTCTGAAGTGGCCACGGGGTCCCTGGGCTGGAGCAGCACAGGAGGTCTCTTGGAGAAGGAGGTGGCTCTGGCAGGGGCCCTAACAACTAGCACTCCCAGCTCCCAACGAGCACCTGCCACAGGCCAGGCCTGGGCTGGGTGGCGACGGGCTTTACCTCCCAACAATGCTATGACCTGGGTCATGGACCCCCAGAGAGAGGGGGAAACGGAGGCCCAGAGAAGCTGGCAACGCTGCGGGAGCGCGCGGAGCGGGATCTGGACACGGGCACTCCTGCCCGAGCCTGTACACCACGCTAGACAGGGAGAGGCAGCAGCAGGTGGGGAGAGCAGGAGAGGAAGGCTGGGGTCACCAAGGAGAGGACACGAGGGCAGGAAGACAAGAGGAGGGGGACAGAGCCCTGGGGAAGCCTGGCTTCACTCCCAAGGCCACAGCCTCTGCACACTGCCCGGCCCACAGTGTCCTCTCAAGGACGGAAGAAGGAAACTGACCTAAATAAGCCCCACCCCCAGCTCCCAGGGGGGCCAGGTTGGCACTGGGCCCTGATTCCCTGGGGATTCCAGAAGTCACTGTGTCCGTCTCCTGCCTGGGACATCTCAGAGGCAGATCCAGGGTGCAGACTTCCCACTGCCTTTCCCTGTGACCTACCCACCATCCAACCCCCCACACCAGGAAGGGCAGTCACCACCCACAGCCCCGGAACGGGGCTGACTGGCCTGTGGCACGTCACCCTTCGGCCAGCCTGGTCACTCGGTTTAACCTGCCGGCCAGGAGCCCACACCCTGCTCAGCCAAGCTCAGGTTAGACATTCGCAGATGGCCAGGTGGATGTTAGAAATTGTGGAATGACCCCTGTGACCCCAGCTCCCCTGGAAGGAGGCAGAGACGGGGAGATGGGAAGTGCAAGGCCAACTCAGCAAGACCTTGTCTCAAAAAATAAAAGAAGGCTGGGGATGTAGCTCAGTCGGTCAAGCACCCCTGGGGTCAACTCCCCGAGCTGCAAAGAACAGACAGACATAAATAAATAACAGACTCGCCACCCTGGGGCCAGGGGTCACCTGCCCCACTGACGTTTTACATCCAAGAAGACCGAGGCCTGGAGAGGGAAGCCCCGGTCACACGGCCAGGGAGCTGGGCTCTGGCCACTGCTGAGTGCTCCCAGCTTCCAGACCCCACCCTGCCTCCCTCGGGCCGCATCTGACCCGAGGCCTCTTTTCTGATGTGACGCTGCAAGCTCGGCAGCACTATTTCTAGGTCAAGCACAAACAGAAGGGGACGAGCATGAGACACATTCTCCAGCTTCTCCATCTGCCTCTCTGTCCAAGGCCTCTGACCCCGGGTTCTGAAGAGCCAAGAGAGAAAGAAAAGGGCCAACTGTGCCCAAAGGGCAGGTTCCCTTGGAAAGCAACTCCTGCAGCCAGGCTAGACCCCATGTGCACCCCGACCCCCAGCCCCAGCACTCGCTCCGGCAGCTCCCACCACACCCGACTCAGCGGAGAAGAGATCAATTATTAAGCAGGGACAGAGCGGGAGGCTGCGGCCACTGCAGGAAGAAGACAGCACTCTCCCAAGGCCAAGGACACCTCAGGTGACAGAGGCTGGCTCCCCTCTGGGGAGATGCAGCTCCCCCACTAAGCCATCCTGGGTCTGTCCTCTCCAGGTTGCCCCCCAGGTCCCTCCTCAGAGGCCCCTGCTGAATCTCCATTCCTGAGTCCCTCCAGGTCTCTTGCTGGGCTCACAAAGCCACCAGGGTTGCTGCTGGAGGGTGGGCATCCCCCAGGGGTATCCTTGCCAAGAAGGCGCTCCCCCCCTGGGGTGGCTCCTGCATAAAGGGGTCCGGGGTCCTGCAGACCCTCAGCAGCCTCGCGCCCCGCCTCCCGGTGGTGCGGCCCAGGGACCCTGGAGACCTCTGCACAGCTGCCCGCCGTGACCTGTCTCCAGGTTGATCCTGTTACATGAGACAACCAGGGGGCAGTGAGGTGCCCTGCAAAGGGGACACCAAGCCATGAGCACGCATATTCTCTCCCTCCCTCCCTCCCTCTCTCTCTCCCCCCCCGCCCAATGCCCTCTCTCAAATGGCAGCTTGGACTCCAGGCCCGGGGCCCCTCATCTGCACCCCCCAGGACCCAACAGTGTCAGGCGAAGCGCACTCCCACGGTGAGGCCAAGGGGAGGGATTTTGAACCCAAATCTCTTGACTCCAAAGGAGTCCACTTCCTGAACAGCCCCCGCCCTGCCCCGGCCCCTCCCCTGGGGTCCAGGCCCTGCCCCTGCCTGGCCAGGCTTCAGTGGGGTGAAGGAGCACTGCGGCAGGTCCAGAGGCGGTAGGCAGCAGTGGAGGGAGGGGCCTAGAACATTCCCTCCCGTGGGCAGGTGGGGTCCTGGAGCCCAGGACCCGCAGCTCTGGGAAGGAGCACGACTCGCATATCTGAGAGCTATTGAGGGAGATAAATTCCAGACACATGGCGGCACTGACAGCAGCAACAGTTTGAAGATGTCCTAATTGTGTCCCGGGGCACAGTGAGGCAGAGATGTGTTTGGCTCTGCCACGGGTGACAGCCAGCCGGGGAACCATCCGGAGGATTTTCGCCGTCAAACCCTGGAGCTGTGGTTACTACGGTGACTGCAGCCTTTGTCTGCAGGTTGTAAATTGTAATTGAAATGAGTTTTCAAGGTTGAAATAATCAGAGCCCTCCCTGTCTCCCCCTCACCTCCTCACGGCTCCCCGGCCAGCCGAGGTCTGCTGGTGCACGCAGGGGCCTCGCACCCAGGTACACAAAACAGCCACCCAGACGCACGTCCTCGCATCCACGCATGCAGAGTAGCCAATGCACGAACCGGCACGCATTTACGGAAGTCATACACACAACATGGCAGGTGTCTCATTTGGGAAGGGAAGGTCGCCAAACCAGGTGGGGGTCAGTCCCCCTGAGGACCTCCAGGAGACTGTGCAGAGGGCACCTCAGGGTCACCCCATCTGGTCAGTCTCAGGCCAGGGATGCCTCCAGGAGCATTAAGCCCACTCATACCACAGGGTGTGAGGGCTGGGGTCCTGGGGACAGTGACGGGGGACTGACAGCATCTGCATAAACACGTGCATGCTCCTGAGTGAGACCAGATGTAGATGGATGCACACGCCACACACACCTACACACACGAACCTGCCTCTACAAACACACACACACACCAGTTTTTGTCCCTTGAGAAAATGTCCAGAGAGCAGGTCCAGGGCCCGGGTGCCCCCAGGAGACCAGCTATGGGATCCTGGCCAAGCAGCGGTCTCCTGAGGCCTCTGTGTCCTCCGCAGACGTGAGGCCCAGGTGGTAACACTGGCCTTGAGGGGTTACTCGCGACTGAGGGAGACGGGGAGGTGGCCCCCAGAGCCACACCTGTGCCCAGACAGCTCCCCTCGCCCCCCACTCTCTCCTGTTAGAAGATGCCCGGTCCCTGAGGCCAACCTCCCCCCATGGCTTCCCCACCCCGTCCTGTGCAGCTGGCTCAGGCTGGCCCCAGTGCTGACCCACATGGGCTGACATGGGATGGGCACGGATGTCCAGTGCACCTGGACCTGCACAGAGGGGCGCCTCCCTCCTCCCCACCCACCTCCTGCCGCGGCTGAGCCGTCCTCCTGCCCCCTGACCCACCAGGGCATTCTGAAGGCCCCT